GGTAGAGGAGTACACTTGAATAAAGGGGTTTTAATTGTATTACGAGGAAATCGTAAGGGGAATTTCCGTGTTTATTTTTCGGAAATATTTAAGACGTTTTTATATCCTTATTTCTTTTTGTTTTTTAGTTTTATTTAAAAAATATGTCTGGGTTACTATTTTTAAACACCTTAAATCTCATTTAAAACTAATTGGGTTTTGTTAAAAGATTTACTTACTTACTTTTAATAATAAGATTAATGATAAAAAAGATATTTATTAAATGCACTTAATTTGAAGATATTTAAGTTGGTAAACTTTATAATATCTCATATTACATCTTTTGTATAAGTTTTAAAAATATTTGAGACACTTTTTAATCATGATTAATTTGAATGTTTTTAATTATATGTTTCTATTTTTAAAGCTTTTAAATCCCTTTTAAAATCCTTCGAGTTCTCTTTAAACCGCTTTCAGCTTCGTCCGCGGTGCCGGAACATCCTGTTAAATTTTTGCCGAGTGCAGCTAAAACAAAACAAGCATCCTTCGCATAGAACAAGTTAAGTTGTTTGTCTGAGGAATCCTTCCTTCAGACTGAATACATGTATTAATGCACGTGGCTGTGTGTGTTTTGTGTGCATATTGAGTCACTAATCTTAATTACTTGTGCAGCATGCAACAAGAGCACTTAGCGCTGATATCCTGCCAGACTCGTGTTGCATACAGGACATGTGCACATACGTGATTATAGTTTCCGATGGCCTTTAGTGCTGCCCTTTCAAGATATGTGTAGGGATACCTTGTATAAGGATACCCTTGCTATACTCTACGTACTTCCCCTCCTTCTTATTTTTCCTCCTTTTTTTCCACTCATTTCTCTTATTGAAGTAAATTCTCAATGAACGCGCCCATTCGATGGGCCTTTCATTTTCATGCGTGCCATTTGCAGCAGCTGGCGTTTTGGTCCTTGCAGCTTGTTGCTGATGATGGGATGCTGATGTTGTTGCCACTGCTGTTGCTGCTGCTGCCCCTCTTGTTGTTGTTGCTATTTGTGAAACGCTTGCAAATCTGTGGCAGATGCTGCGCCGCACATATATCCGCAGCATATACACATTCCACTCCCGTATAGTATATCATATTTGGTTTGCGCATTAGCCCGGCCAGCAAGGCTAAGCGACACATGGAGCTCATCCACGTAGATGGATACACTCCGTGCCAAACAAACACAGTGGGGGTCAAGAGAATGGTATTTTTGAATTTAAAAATAATATTCATTAAAATTTGAGAATTTAAAAATCCGTAGTATTTATTTTGAGTTCAAGGAATTAGTATAAATAGATTGTAAATATCAAAGAATTTTTGAAAGTTCGGATATTCTTAATAAATTATTTATTAAGTATTTTACCTTACATGGTTACATATAGCTTTAAAGTGATATATTCCATTGAAAATACAACATTTATCGAAGCAATCATCTCAAGGTCCTAAGATTTTTATAAGGTTTTAAATCGGTAATAAGCTACAAAATAATTTACATTTATAAGCTAACCATTAAAATCTTGTAAAACCAGAAATTCAATTCCTCAAAAATTGTTGTCTCAATTTTCTTAAAGGTATAATTTAAAACTGTAGAGTTTTGTTAAAAGATTTTATTCTATTTATATTTAACCCCCTTATTGGGGCTGTGCTATCCCTGCCAAAATATTATATTTTGTACAGCAAATAGAGTAATAATTTTGACCCTGGCTGTATGTGTGCTAGGATACTTGTTTGCCATGTAGAGATGCTTAGGGGGTGGAGTGCTGGGTGGGTGGGCGAAACGACAGACCCCCATCCTTTATGTTATCCTCCATGTCCTTGTGCTTCAACTCGACAAATATTCAACACGTATTCATTTCCTGCGGACGCTCAGTTGCCAACTGGCAACATTCTGTGTCGCAGGAGTGGGTTGGGTTTTCAAAGGGGGCGGGAAGTGAGAAGAAGGTGGCGATGACGAAGAAGATGCTGCACAAGTGCAGCCAGGACATGGATACTTGCACTTGATGCCGTTGCCATATAGCTTTAGCTTCGGCCTCAGCTTCAGCTTTAGCCTTAGCTCCAGGTGTGGATGTAGCTGTAGCTGCTGATGAAGTAGCGACAATGCGGCAATGCGTCGCAAACTCACTTTGAGTGCTACTTGGCAGCAAGACAACGACGCCCAGACTGCCAGGAAGGAGCAAGGAAGAAGGATGCAGGATGGCAATGGAGATGCTGATGCAGATGGAGGTGCAAAAGGATGGGAGGCTGGGTCCTTGGGGGTGGCAAAGAGATGCCAGCGACGACAGCGTGACACGCTACAGGAGGGCGGGGAACGAGGGACGAAGGACAGTGGCATTTTCCTGGCCAGGATAAAGTATTAAGGATAAAGGAAGCTCTCTCCTTGAATTGGCGACAGATACGCTAAGGAATCTTTCCGTCTTTCCGATGAAAAGCAAAGAATAGCAAATGCTGCCACTGAAAGATGAATGATGGAGCCCACATTCGTGTGTTGAAGTAACGATGAAAACCACAAAATGCAGATCAAACCAAACGATTTGTGGTTGATTTCTAAATGGATGGGCTTACTACTTTACCTCATATATAAATAAGTGAAACTAATATCTATTAAATTTTAGAGCCTAAATATTTCTATTTTTGATCTTAGTTTAAATTATTTTATAATTGGCAAAAGTTTTAACTTGTTATATACGGCTAAAAAAAATATATTTCATAGGTTAAAACCGTTATAAACCTCATGTATTTTCTTCCTTGCTTATAAGGGTCATTCTCATAGAAAGAAAAATTGTAAAATGATGCGTTTCACATTTATTGGATATTTGTATACGAAGGTTTTCCTATTGTCTCACGGGGTTTTCTTTCTTCCGTGAAGTAGGGTTTTCTTTTCTTTTTCTCAGAAGTCTTCATTGGTGGCTCAGGGCTTCAACTATTTCTTATACCCCCAACCCCTTCGAAGAGGAAGTTCCCCGTGAAGTCTTGATAAATTTCCCTCACGAACCGACCTCATCGCCGGGGCAAAGCGAATATGTTGATCCTTTGACGATTGCACAACACTTCCAGCACATGCATTCAGTTCCCAGTTGGCAGTTCCCCAGTTTGCCTCAACCCAAAACCCACTTCCCCAGCATTATTTCACCCCCCTGGAGGTATCTCGTCAAGTGACCCTCTCGATGGCTGTGGCTGTGGCTGCTACTCCCAGGATATCTCCAGGACCTCTTCCACTTCTCCACATCTCCAGGAGGAAGCCGTGAACGCTTAACGCCCGCTCATTCCCTGTGAGAGAGTCACACGTAGCCACGAAATCATTTTTCACCACTTAGTCACGTCGCTTTGACAGCACATCCCTGGGAGGATGGGTTCGGCTTTCGAGATCTGTAGAGATGGTTGGGTTGGGGATGTGTGTTGGGGTTAGTCTGGTTGCGGGTTAGGGATATATGGTCTCGGTCTCGGTAGCCTCAGCATCCGCTCTTATCTGCGGTTTAGTTGCTTATAATTGGCAGACATGTGAGTAGAAAGGAGAGAAGAGCTTTCCCAGAGTCCTTTCCCTCGCTTTCCCTACACCATACGATACCTCCCCCTCTAAAAACCGGATGCCAAGGACTGCTAATAGTTACACTCGCAGGATATCTATATGTCGGTAATTAGCCAAGCGTAAGTCTGCAGTACCGACTTTCCCACGAACGGCGAACATTGCGTGATGTTGTTATTATTATTAGTAGAAATAGTACTCCTACGTAAATGTAACTTTGCTTGGCAATTACATTCGTATTTCTCTGCTGTCGATCGTTAGTTGCTGGGAGGTGAACTTTCCCGCCACTTTTGGGTGGGTTTCAGGTTTGGGTTCCCTAACAGATGGCATCAATCAAGTGGAAACCACTAAGTATAATGCAGCAATGTTGCCCGAAAAAGTTGCCATTGCCAGTGCAGTTGGGAAATCTTGTTGCCCAGCCCAACAAGGGGCGCTTCCTCCACCAACCACCGCCCTATATCCTGCACAGGGAAAATAAACTAAAATGTGAGACACGTTTTGGGTTAATTAATATTTTATATAGGACATACAGCTGCCTTTGAGTAGAACAGGTTTTGTGGAATGTTAAAAAAATACCTAAAAGGTCAGTAATTAAGAAATAATTTCTGAATATTGTTTCTTTATAATATAGTGTAAATATACATCTAAATCAAGTTTAATTAAGATGAAATATTGATAAAATTTCTATCTAATAAATATAATAAAATTATTCCTGTTATAATATCAACCAAATTATTCTCTTATTATTTAGTATTTTATTTTAGTTTCAATTACTAAATTATGGGGGTGTCACTGAAATTACTTTAACATTTTATTACAGGTGTATAAAATTATGCAGTAAATAAAGAACAATGGTATTACTGAATGAAGTCATCCTAAGTCTAAGCCTAAAATATATCGTTGCATACTTTCAGACATCACTGCTTACATTTGGATTTTAAATATTTAAAAGCTAAAATACCTTATTTTAACATTTACTTTAAAATAACCATAATTAATTAAAATTATATTCTAAACTTTTGTTTGTTAATGACATTAGTTTAATTGCTTGAAAATATAAATATAAATTGAATTGACAATGGTAAATCCTAAGCATATCTGATATCTTATTAAATGGTAGGTATTTATCTATAAATCTAGAATTGCCCCCCGGGAGTCCAGATTCTCGCAGTGTAAACGGAACCTCCCAACAAGTGCTTGTAGTACGTGTTGTCCTGCTATTTGGTTACCTTGTATGGTTGCACTTCCTTCGTTTTGCTTGTGGCACGAATCAAAGTATTGAATTTCTATATCCGTTTTTTTTTTCTCCTTTTTCGTTTTATTTTTGTGTATTGTTCGGGTGAAAGGGGCGTGTTGCTCCGGTGTTGCTGCTGTCGCTGTTGTCGCAGTTGCTGTTGCTGCTGCCGCTGATGTTGCTGCTGCTGCTGCTTACATAAAGGACAACAGCTCAGCAGGACTAAATGAGTGCACAGGAAGTTTTTACATTGCTCACCTTGAGCGGGGGTTTCGCTTTGGGTTTGGGTTGATGGGTTTTGAGTTTGAGTTTGGATGGAGGGTTCGTTCGCTGGTTGTGGGAATGGAAGTGAAACTGTAACTGTAACTGGGTGCGGGGCAATTAGGTCCTGTGTATATATATGTACCTACATATCTGAGGCAAAGCGGAAACTGTCGCAAGTGATCGGCGTGTTGATAAGTTCAAAAACAACATCAGCAGCAGCAGAAACATCGGAGCAACAACAATCTCCATCAGCAGCAGCAGCAAACTTGAACCCAAAATGTGTGTGTTTCACATTTTGGCATTTCGCAGTTGCCAAGGCAAAGGCAAAAGTTTTGAATGCGTTTTGTGGCTCCACTCGCAAAAATCCATTTTTCGCATTTGTATACCCTGACAGAGGTTAATTGCTCGAGTTCGTCATTTTAAAGGTCTACGCATTTTTTTTGGAGCTTCTCGATTTCATTGAAAACTTTTTCGTATGCTTGGAGGTCCGGTTTTTATTATGTGTCCCTCATTTGTCCCGCACTCTTTGTTTTTTTGTGGGATGTTCAACTAAAGGGCATCCTCAAAAGGACATTGAAACAAAAAGTTGACAAGGGAGTTCCTAATAAGAACTTTCCATTGACTACAACTTTTACTTTAATTTACTTAGTCAATAAAGTTTATCGTAATTAAATCTTGATAAATACATTTTAGTAAGAAAGTCATTTACATATTCACTAAGATGATGTGATAAGTTTCATAATTGCAAGGAGTTTTGTGTTTAACATACACAAAATTTGAAGATGAAATCTTTATGTGTGAACTCATTGAGCATTTAAAACCCGTATTGTTAAGAAAAAAAATTATAGTTTTATAGTTAAAAACAAGAGAGAACGCTATAGTCGGGTTGGTGTCCCGACTATCTAATACCCGTCACTCAGCTAAAGGGAGTGCGAACGCTGTACTCGGGTTGGTGTCCCGACTAATAATCGTAACTCAGCTAAAGGGAGTGCGAGGGAGATAGATATATAAATTTTGATTGCGTGTAACTTTTTAATGAATGGTCCGATTTGAAAAGTGTCTTCTACATTTCGATAGGTATAAATATACACAACAAAATTGCATTTTTACTTTTCGGAAATCTTTAAAGATGTGGGCGCAGGACCCATTTTAAAATCGTTAGTGGGCGATTGTGGGCGTTAGAGGGGGCGTGGCGCTCGGCTAAAATAAACTTGCGCTGCGTAGGAAGCCAAAGAATATGTGTGGGAAATCTCAACCTTCTAGCTTTTGTAGTTGCTGAGATCTCAGCGTTCATACAGACAGACAGACGGACAGACAGACGGACAGACGGACAGACGGACATGGCTAGATCGACTCGGCTGGTGATCCTGATCAAGAATATATATACTTTATGGGGTCGGAAACGCTTCCTTCTAGCTGTTACATACTTTTGCACGAATCTAGTATACCCTTTTACTCTACGAGTAACGGGTATAAAAAATGTCTTAGAAGTTTTATAAATAAGGAAATATTTATAAAAAAGGTTATTATTATATTAAAATTGGTTTTTTTAAACTTGGAGAGTGTCTTGTTATTAATATAAAATTAACAAATATTTTAATATAGTATTTTTACAATTATTAAATTTTTCTACTTGAAAAATGTAAACTCTTTCCCTATAATTTTTTTAAAAAACTGAGGACAAAAAACTAGTTTTTTAAAGAATTATAATCCTTGTTCTTTAGCTGTCATAACAACAATAGGAAAACAAGGGTATTCAAACCTTTGGATATCGAAAGTATTTTCTGAACTTTTTTAAATGTTTTTGGTACAAGTTTGGGTTCTGGTTTTCCGTATAGCTGTAGCTACTCGGAAACAAAGTGCTATAAAAGTCACGCCCGAGGCGAAATGAGTTTTCAGTTTTTCAGCTGCAGAAAAGGGGGTGGGGCAAGGGGAAGGGGATGGGGAAAGCGGCTTTTCCAGCGTGTTTTTTTCCGTGTTCAGCATCAGGTAACCTAACCTTTTGTGCCGCCCATTAGAAACATGCACACGCAGTCGGCTTACTTAAGCATACAAATTGTGTACGGAGGCAAATGCAAATGCGCCAGACTCAGACTCCCAGAAAAATGGGAAATGTGGAATTGTAGAATTGTGGAAATGCGGAAACGTGCGGGGATTTGAGGCAACTTCTCTCTGTGGGCTGGAAAAACTTTGCCATGCGTGCCGCCATTTGACTCGCAAGATTGACACGCTGCCAAAAGGGAGGGAGGGATTTTCCTTCTGGGGGGAAAGGAAAAACTGTACAGATGTGTCCAATTTAGTGGAACACTGGACCAACGCCCCCGGCCAGATGCTCTGTGGAGCAGCTCCTTATGATTATTATATATATACCAACCCCCGGAAAAAGGGAAAGCAAAAGGAAAACCCAAGGAAAAGCCTTGGGGCGACTCGACAAGTGGCGGAAATTAATGCAGTAATTGTGGTAAGTGCTTGTCCTCCTTGCTGATTCATAATCGCATGTATTCAATTAAGGAGATTAATTATTTTCGGTCAGGGCAGCCTTCGAAGGATTTAAATCTGTCAGGCGAACGGAAGAGAAAAGGAAACTCTTTTCCTTGGGAAATATTTTTCCCCTTTTCCGAATTCGAATGGCCAGCGGTCAGCGAAAGGTCACGTGGCCACCATAAATATGCCGGCTATCGATTGTACCTGACCACGCCACAGAACTATCCATCTTCCATAAGATGTCAGCGGCAGGAGCTTATATGCAAAGTTCTCCACCCCCGAATATATTTTTCCGGAGGGGAGAAAAATCTATGCCGATCTGGGGAATTTCCGACCATGACAATAATCAGCTGAAGCGATTCTGTGTTCTTGGGGTGTCAAAAGTAGTAACTCCCCCTTTTCCAAGGGTGTTTTCCGTTTGGCTTTGGGTTTGGGTTGGCCAAATAAATTAGGCAACAAAAAATTGACATTCCAAGGAGCCAAAGGACATCGCCACTGATTAGAACAATATGCGTGAGTATGTAAAAGGCAATCTATGGACCCATATATATCCGTTCATACATATATATATCTATCTGTATCTCAATGGAGGCGTATTTATATAACGCATTTGTTGGCTGGCCAAAAAAACCAAAAAAGATGTGTTCAAAATAAATATGCGTGCGTGTTGCTTCCCCACACCCACAAGTACAGTAGCCGAAATGAGTATAGATTTGTTTGTTTGTATGTCGTTAGCATTGTTTTTTTCCCTCAGTGCGTGCGTGCGTGTGCCTCCCATCTGCATCTGTGTGCGTCCCGTCCCTCTGTGTGTGTATTTTTGCCTTTCGTTGACACTTTCACAATTTATGGCAAATGCTGTCTTTCACCCGGTCCCCTGCCACAGGAAAGGCGCCAAGCGAACGGCAGAAACAGCCCAACCAACCCCCTGAAAGTTACTTTCGCCACCCACCAAACACAAAAAAGAATTCCCAAAAAAAACAAGGCGATTTGGTAGTTCCGAGGGTTACAAATGTGAAGTACCCAAAATTATAAAAATTCTAATTTTATTTTATTTAGAATACCTAAATACACAAAAATAATATCAATAAAAAACGTCTAAAGTAAGCCTCAGAAATTCGGAATCTTTTTGCTGTAACCTTGCCAAAAATAATCACAAATCAAAAATTCAAACTGTTTTGAACAGCTAATAATGTCGTTAAAAAATCCCTTCTACTTTTTTAATTATTAAAAAAAATAAAATTTTTACAATTTTGTGAATTATTTATAAGGGGTTACATCGCGATTTTTTGGTTTAGTTAAAAAAGGAAACTTTTCGTGTTTTTTTGCTGTAAATTTGCTAAAAGTTATCCGAAATTAAAAAGAAGAGCTAATAATGCCTTAAAGAAATCCCTGGTACTTTTTAAATTATTAAAAAAAAACAATTTCACCAAATTTTTAAATTTTTCATCATTGCGAAAAAAACCAAAAAATGTATATTTCCAAATAAAAAACCAATCTATTAAAAATTTGATTATGAGGTCAACAAGGTATTATTTCTAATTTTTGGACCATTGTTTCCTTTGTTTCGTCTAAAAAAGTTAATTTTTTAGGTAGAAAATCAGGAAATTTGGATTTTTTAGAGCTGATTATTTTTACTTATTCTTAAAAATAGTTTATCAACAGATTTATTCATATCATACCCTTATCCCATTTACAGGGTACCTCCCGTGGGCGTTTTGGGGGCGTGGCCGTTGGGGGGTTGAGCAGAAGAAGCATTCTGTTTACCAGTTTCCGCAGTCCCCAGTTGTACACAGGACTCATTTGAAATAAATATTTTTGTGTTTTTACTTGAAGCGACAATAACGCAAAACATGAAACATACACTAACAGAGCGGAGACAAATGTGCCTGTACTGTATGTGTATGTGTGTGTGACTATCCTGTGAGAGTGAGACTGTGTGTGTGTGGCTGTAGGCAAAACAACGCGCGGCGCTGCGGCGTCAAAGTCGAATTACTCATACGCCACGTTGGCCAATGTCGCTGCCACTTTGGCTTTGGCATTGTTGTTCTTGTTGCTGTTGTTGCCTTTGTTGCTGCCGTCTGACACACAATCCGTGCCTCTAGTATGCGCGTTGACGTTAAAAGCTACAGAGCAATTAATCATTAGCTTTTACAGGATTTATTGCAAATACTTTTATCGGATATATTAAATGAACTCCACTCCACAAGAGGCTCAGCTCGCTGTGGCCTTAGGCCGCCCGTGGAATTATGGCAGCATTAATCCAGTGGGGACTATCTGCCGACAACATCTTACTACTACTGTTTCTTTTTTTTGTTTGGGGGGTTTCGGCTTTCGGCTTTAAGATTTGCGTCATCGCGAAGTGTCAGTCATGTGGGTCACGGGGTGGCTGGGAAAATAAATATAAGGAATAGGAAAAACTTTTTTAGACATATGCACACACGCGATGGCTTAGCAACAGTTTACATCGCATTGTACTATGTTGTTTACTTTCGGTGACAAAATGAGTTACAGGTTTCATTCATTGCCCTAATGCAGCTTGATAAATTTGAGCGCATTAATTACGCTCACTTGGCGCTCGCAACACACACACTGAATATATGTGTATCCTTTTTGGTCCTTCGTGTTCCTTCTTAGTGCTCCTTTTGTTAGAAGGCGATTCGGAGAGTGCCTCTGTTGTTCAGTTTCATGTGCCATTAACTGGCTCAAGCCGCCGCGATTGATCTTGGCCTT